GGGAAAGAGATCACAGAACTTGGAGTCAGGAGTTCCTGATTTATATTCTGGCTTTGCCTCTACTGGACACATGACATAGGGCAGGTTACTTAATTTCGCTGAGCCTCATTTTCTTATCTACAAATCTGAAAAATATAACTATCATACAGGCTTATGAGATGATTAAATAAGAATAATCAACATTTATTGAATGCTTCCTGTATGCAGGGATTGTATGTGGTAGCTGGTTTGATCTTTACAGTATTTCTCTGATGTAGATACAGTTACTATCCCCCTTTTACAGATGGGGAAACTGAGGCACGGAGAGGCTAAGTTGCCCAAGATCACTCTACTCGTGCGGGTGAAGGCAGTTTTAGCCCCTATACTGTGTTACTGCTGGAATCAAATGAGACAATGTACAAATAGTTGGTGGATACCCTGTTCAGTATTATTTCAAGAGTCTTCCTTAAATAGAGTACTCAGCCTGTGAGCCTGGGCCTGATGATGCCAGCTGTATCATCTGTATCAGCTGAGAGGCACAGAGCCCCAGAGGCACTGCTCATGAAAATGTCCAAACCCTGGGGGAGGTAGGCTCCCTCCTTGCGGGTCGGGGAGGGGAGGGGTGGGCCTTTGTTGAGATGTCAGGTGCAGGCTGTTCCTCAGAATCCAGGACAAAACTGGTTCCAGGAATCCCATGACTGATAAGAGAGGGTAGATGTGAACCTCTAAATTTTTTTGTGGTCAGAAAAGCCTATTTTGTCCTCTTAATTCCCTGGACTCCAAACCTACACTAAGGAAAAATCCTGCCCATCCCAGAGCTGTGTCTGTTTGGGATAGAAGGAAGGGAGGAGACAGTGAAATCTCAGCCCTGGGCAGACAGCACAGGAAGGGGTGGGGTCCTTCCCTCCCAATAGTTTGGGAAGGTGACTTTCTTTCTTCTTTTTGTTTTTTTGAATTTTATTTTATTTACTTTTTATACAGCTGGTTCTTATTAGTTATCTATTAGTTATACTTATTAGTGTATATATGTCAATCCCAATCTCCCAATTCATCTCACCACCACCCCCCTGGGGAAGGTGGCTGTCCATCTTTTTTATCATAACTCACTATGACCTAATGTGTACAGACACATACATAGGTGAAACAAAAGTTTCATAGGACAACACATTATTATTTGGGGAATACTTGGATTTAAAATACTTCTGTCTTCTATTTTACTGTTATTTTCTATTCTTCTATTGTATTTCATTAAAAGAATACTAATCCCAACCTATTAAACTGATTTCCCTCTCCGGTGATGAGTTGCCATCCTCAGGTTGAAAACCCAGGGAATTTCTAAGGGTTAGAAGTTTAGGAATTAGAAGTTCATAACTCGTCACATAAAGGCCATCCCATTCTGATTAAAAAAAATCCAAAGGTACTAGGGTCAATGTTTTGTCTGCTGCTGTAAGGACTGACGTTGAAACACCCAGAAACAGCCCCATCCACAGGGTAAGAAGGTCACTGCCTGACTTGGGGCCTTGAAATGCAGATCATTTAGTCATACATCTGTCACTTACTCTAGGTTGGGCCTCGAGGTGCACGCTGTGGATACCGGGAACATGAGGCACTCGGGTGGCTCATAGCCTGATGTGGAAATTACAGTGCAATACAAATGAAAAGCCACAGTGCAACGGGGTCACTGTAATAGTAGGGCAACATAAGGTCCTCTGGGAGTGCAGAGGAAAGAGGAAGCACCCTGCCCTCTGGGAGAGATGTGGAAGGCATGACAAGGAAGAATTGATTTGTGAAAGTGAGTAGAATTTACCAGACAAATAAGCGAGGGTCGGGGAGGGAACCACAAGAGCTAAGGTTCTGATAGCTCCCAAATCTTTTTCCACCCCACTAGCTTTTTCCTAAAATTTGGCCACGAGGGCCTCGTTCCTTTAGGTAAAATTTTTATCCCTACTTAGTCAAGCCCCTCTGGGAGAAGCCGTCTTTTAAGACATTGCTATCCATTTACACCTCCATGTGATCAAGTTTGAGTTTTGTGTTGAGAGCAGGGATTGATGAGGGGAAGAGGAGAAAGGGAAGAATATGAGGCCATTAAAAGCTTAGGCAGAAAAAGGGTAAGTCAGGGCTTCCCTGGTGGTGCAGTGGTTGAGAGTCCGCCTGCTGATGCAGGGGACACGGGTTCGTGCCCCGGTTCGGGAAGATCCCACACGTCGCGGAGCGGCTGGGCCCGTGAGCCATGGCCGCTGAGCCTGCGCGTCCGGAACCTGTGCTCCTCAATGGGAGAGGCCACAACAGTGAGAGGCCCGTGTACAGCAAAAAAAAAAAAAAAACAGAAAAAGGGCAAGTCAAATGGCACCGGGAGGCATCACACTCAAACTTTGCTTTGCGTTTGGTTGGGGTCTAATTCTTGGGGACCCCAGTGTTGCTGTATTGTACGTAGCTCTATACAGATGTTCTGTAAATGCTTGTTGAATGAATGAGTAAAGTGTTAGAGCTCAAAAGAACCTTGTGAACCATCTAGATTTTTCTGAACCTCTCATGTCATACATGCGGCCTTGCAGTGTTGTGACTTACACAGCTGGTAATCCTGATTCTTGGTTGGGCATTTCATCCACAAAGTAACAACACACTAGTGTAAGAATATGTTAGACTATGTGGAAAAGACAAAGCAGGCAATAAGAACTGCCACCCAGAGCTAAACATGGTTAATGTTCTGATAGAGTTCTTTCCAGTATTTTTTTCTGTGCATAAAATCACGTTTTCCAATTAGGTTTATACCATTTTTATAGTTGTGTTTCCTGCTTATTTCATTTCAGTATATTGTGAGTGTTCCTATGTCAGTAAATAGCTTTAAATTCTTGACAAACATAATGTTAATGCTGGCATAGTATTCCATTGTATGATTATACATATTTTTAAGATAATTTCTCTGTTTTTTTCCTTTTAATGTTTAAAAAATTTTTTTATTGGAGTATAGTATATATTGATTTACAATGTTGTGTTAGTTTCAGGTGCACAGTGTAGTGAATCAGTTATACATATACATATATTCACTCTTTTTTAGATTCTTTTCCCATATAGGCCATTACAGAATTTCTCTCTTTTTGGACACTGACACAATTTTCAGTGTTTTAAAAACCTTTGTCTATTTATATTTTTATTGTTGTTTTAATG